GAGTGGGAGCATGAGCATAGTTTCAAACGTGGCGTCCATAGAATTTTAAGGAGGTTAGGAACACAAAACCTAATTTCATATTCTTGTTCAGCGATCCTTAACACCTACCTCTCGATTATATCATGTCTGGGTAATTCTCCAAATGCGTTGTAGCCTCCCCCCCCCCTCTCCTGGTATGAGACTATGCCATATAAATTAAGAGGCATCCTTCGGGGCTACCTCGAGTCTGCTTGCTAAGTTCGGCCCTGCTTCAGAACTCTGAAAGAAGTTCGCGGAGAAACAAATTCAGACACACACACAGCATGATTTGATATAGGATATTTCAAGTAAGAAAATAGCAATTAACAATTCTTGACGTCAGAAGTTGACTCCTTCGGGGACTGTTTGTATATAATCGTTCTTGAATATTTCATGTGTTTTTAAGGCGTTCTCTGTTTTCTTTAAAATAAATGTCTTTTTTTCAATAGCATATACTGAAGATTCATATGCATATTAGCATGCCAATATTTTAATATATCATACTAATTCTATTATAATAATCGCATTTTCCTGTAATGTTTCTCACGTGTTTTAGGTTAGACACGTCTATCAAACATTTTTTCACAATTAGCTAGCATCAAAAGACACATCAGACTAATTTAAAAATAACACAACTAAGAAAAAAAGAGATGAAGAGCATATTTAAAAATTTATTCTAATATATGCAGTTGAGTTGAACTAATTTCTAGGCTAAATTATAAGTTATATTATTAAATGATAATTGCATGTCAGGCTGAGGATGTCACTCGATACGATTCGTTGGTTTATGCCCGTATCTCACCCCAAAAAAAAATAATGAAGAACAATTCTTGACGTCAATAGTCAATTTATTTGTTTCATAGCATAAAATGTTGTTATTCAGTTGGCCACCGTTCTTCTTTGAGAGTTGGTTAGATCTTAGTAGCACTCACAAAAACAACACAAGATTATGAAGTGTTATCAAAGTTCTTTAAAGGTGAGCAAGTAACATTATCTATGTATGATATTTCATGATTTTAAGATAAACATTTTTTTATTATTCTTATCCTCAGACTATTCTAAAGATTCAGTTTTAAATTATTATTCTCAGATAAATAAGTTAGCGATTGGACTAGAGATGGTATAGAGAAAACGTTTAGAAGGGTGATAATTGCAAATTTTATCTTTGGTAATTGGAGCTTGACTGACACTTTATACAACGACTTGTTTAGTACACCATGGAAATTTGGAAATGACGCAGTTGTAAGTTTCTTCTTAACTTTCAGATTTTTATTCATGATATTCTCTCCCTCACGTTTAATTTTACAATTTATGCATGCTTATTGTTCTTGGATAATGAAGCTTAGAATGGATACATTTTTAAACAAACGTTTTAAGGTTTTATGCTGTAATATATTTTAAAAGCATCTATTGCCATGTATTTTCCTTTAGATAAATATCTTAATAGACAAATTCCAGTGGACCGAAAGCATTAGCTGTTACAAACCCTTGACGATATAGATGATCAAATATATGTCTTATAATTAAACCTGAAATATATATGTATAGGTATGTAAACATGTAAGATCGCATTTGTTCCTATTACCAGGAAGTCAAGAGGTACAAAGTAAATTTAACAAGACACACTACGAAAGTATAGCGATACAAACATACGTGTTCATGAAATAATAGTTTCGTCTTTACAACATTTGCTGAAAACAAACAAACTATAATGCTTTGTGATAACTCCAGACGAATTACGAAATTTTCCAATATCAACTTGTGTATTTGGGAACAGTAAGAATAATGATCTCTTCAGCTTGCAAATCACGTATTTTGTTATTTGGTTGCTGAGCCACAGCAGACTTTCAAGGCTAGAAGAAATTTTGCTACAAGAACATGGAGCTAATAACTGAAAAATACTTTAGCTGTTTTAAAAGTGTTTGCTAAAGATAATCTTGTTCCATCTTTCTTAACCTATTTACTTGTTTGCATATAAACCTCATAAACTAAATCGAGATTAACTAACTTAAAAAAAAAAAGATGTTTAAAAGCAGCAGCATAAAACTGGGCGTGGTGTTTCAATAGTCTATCACCACTTCATCCGGTAGATTGGTATTACGTAGTAACAAATTGCATAACAGAAACCACACCTAAAGTCGTACAAAATACTACTTGAAAAAAGTAATCAAGCGCTTTCATTAGTATTAGTTAAATACACTGAAATGATTGTCTTTCTTATTTCGAAACAATGAAAGATGTTATTCAATCCCACATACAGTCATATTGCATACTTAAATCTTTCTTTTAATATGCATAAAAAGTTGTTATAAAACAATCTGGAAATATGTTAAATGAAGATATAAATCAATTGACTTAGAAGATTAAAGAACGTGAACGTATTAAATACATTTGGGGGGGGGGGAATTCGATAATAATAATAATAATAACTTTATTAGAATACCCTTGAAAGTTTAGTTACGTAAGCACAGTTAAAAACTTACAATTCTGTTTGAAAGAACTAATTCTTAGTTGATTATATTATATTAGTTGATCAATGGTTTCGAATCGCACAAATTTCTATCTGATACCAAAAATGTTGGCCTGGCATGGCCTGATGGTTAAGGCGATCGACTCCCAATCTGAGCTGTTGGCCTGGTGTGGCCTGGTGGTTAAGGCGATCGACTCCCAATCTGAGCTGTTGGCCTGGCATGGCCTGGTGGTTAAGGCGATCGACTCCCAATCTGAGCATCGCGGTTTTGAACACCCGGCACCGAACATGCTCGCCTTTTCAGCCGTGGGGGCGTTACGGTGTGACGTTGATGAAAGACTAACCCAATAGTCGGCGGTAGATGATTTTAACTGACTGCCTTCCCTCTAGACTATCACTGTTAAATTATGGACAGCTAGCGTCGATAGCCCTCATGTAGCCTTGCGCGAAATTAAAACCCAACCAAAACAAAAAATATTAATGCCAATAATGCTGAAAATTTGATAAATTATTTATATTTTAAACCTGGACGACACATTACACGCTCATGGGCTTAACGGCCAGGTCAGAGACTCAAATGGTACGGGTATAGGCATCTCTCATTTTGAACTACTAACCAGAGAGAGGGAAACCAGTAATCAGCACCCACCGCCACTAAGGCTTTGCCAGACTTCTGAAATTGAATAGGTGGCTTGATTGTCACTTTTATAACCCTTTCCACACCTGAAAGTGTAGAGGATATTCAGCACCATCGTACCTGGAACTTTGGACCTTCTAATCTGTATCTCGGAATGCTGACACAAAGCCACACCCGCTCCATTTGATAAGAAATAAACGACTAATAGTTAATATAAATGTGCTGGTTTTAAGGTAATAAGGTTGTTCAGTGTATCTAAAAGCTATCCTATTATATAAATACTAAAATAATATAAAACTGATATGATTACAAAGGTCAAACAAGTTTTCTTTAGAGTATTTTGTTTAATACTTACAGGACTTTATTCAGAACTTTTAAATATGTATAACTTGTCCAGCAACTTAAATATCATGGCAAACTAGATGAAAAATAACCTTACAATTTATATAAAACTAACAAAAATACATGTCAAATTACTCCGAATTGCAATATATTAGTTCTTATATATGGTATGACTAAACTGACGTCATTCAAGGCCAAGTGCAATTTGGAGCTTAAATCGGATAAACAGTAAAGAATGTAAACCTAAATGTCAACCTAATACGTGATTCCTTTGCAAATTCTGCTATAGTAATATTGATACTTTAATAGATTAAGAAATTTAATCTAAGTCTCTTAT